TCAGTATAAAAGACACCTGTCCACAACCTCAAACAGTCACACTCCAAACTCCACTATGGCCAAGACCAAAGAGCTGTCAAAGGACACCAGAAACAAAATTGTAGACCTGCACCAGGCTGGGAAGACTGCATCTGCAATAGGTAAGCAGCTTGGTTTGAATAAATCAACTGTGGGAGCATTTATTAGGAAATGGAAGACATACAAGACCACTGATAATCTCCCTCGATCTGGGGCTCCACGCAAGATCTCACCCCGTGGGGTCAAAATGATCACAAGAACGGTGAGCAAAAATCCCAGAACCACACGGGGGGACCTAGTGAATGACCTGCAGAGAGCTGGGACCAAAGTAACAAAGCCTACCATCAGTAACACACTACGCCGCCAGGGACTCAAATCCTGCAGTGCCAGACGTGTCCCCCTGCTTAAGCCAGTACATGTCCAGGCCCGTCTGAAGTTTGCTAGAGTGCATTTGGATGATCCAGAAGAGGATTGGGAGAATGTCATATGGTCAGATGAAACCAAAATAGAACTTTTTGGTAAAAACTCAACTCGTCGTGTTTGGAGGACAAAGAATGCTGAGTTGCATCCAAAGAACACCATACCTACTGTGAAGCATGGGGGTGGGAAACATCATGCTTTGGGGCTGTTTTTCTGCAAAGGGACCAGGACGACTGATCCGTGTAAAGGAAAGAATGAATGGGGCCATGTATCGTGAGATTTTGAGTGAAAACCTCCTTCCATCAGCAAGGGCATTGAAGATGAAACGTGGCTGGGTCTTTCAGCATGACAATGATCCCAAACACACCGCCCAGGCAACGAAGGAGTGGCTTCGTAAGAAGCATTTCAAGGTCCTGGAGTGGCCTAGCCAGTCTCCAGATCTCAACCCCATAGAAAATCTTTGGAGGGAGTTGAAAGTCCGTGTTGCCCAGTGACAGCCCCAAAACATCACTGCTCTAGAGGAGATCTGCATGGAGGAATGGGCCAAAATACCAGCAACAGTGTGTGAAAACCTTGTGAAGACTTACAGAAAACGTTTGACCTGTGTCATTGCCAACAAAGGGTATATAACAAAGTATTGAGAAACTTTTGTTATTGACCAAATACTTATTTTCCACCTTAATTTGCAAATAAATTCATAAAAAATCCTACAATGTGATTTTCTGGATTTCTTTTTCTCATTTTGTCTGTCATAGTTGACGTGTACCTATGATGAAAATTACAGGCCTCTCTCATCTTTTTAAGTGGGAGAACTTGCACAATTGGTGGCTGACTAAATACTTTTTTTCCCCACTGTATTTGATTGTTGCTTTCTAAAATAATTAGAAATAGGCATCTATTTCCTATTATTTATATAATTTCAATGATCATTGCAGAAAAAAATCATCACCTTTTCTGACTGTGATGGTTTCATATTCGTGAAATAGCCTATAGGCCTACAACAAGTTAGGATAGGCTACCATTTGTCCCATCTCTCATTTAATTGGACCCACTTCACAATAGTAAATAAAGGCATCCCTCAACGAGACCAAGACAAAGGAGATGATTGTGGACTACAGGAAAAAAAAGAGGACTGAGCACGCCCCCATTCTCATCGACAGGGCTGTAGTGGAACAGGTTGAGAGCTTCAAGTTCCTTGGTGTCCACATCACCATCGAACTATCATGGTCCAAACACACCAAGACAGTCATGAAGAGGGCACGACAAAGCCTATTCCCCCTAAGGAGACTGAAAAGATTCGGCATGGGTCCTCAGATCCTCAAAAAATTCTACAGCTGCACCATCGAGAGCATCCTGACTGGTTGCATCACCGCCTGGTATGCAACTGCTTGGCCTCCGACCGCAAGGCACTACAGAGGGTAGTGCGTACGGCCCAGTACATCACTGGGGCCAAGCTTCCTGCCATCCAGGACCTCTATACCAGGCGGTGTCAGAGGAAGGCCCTCAAAATTGTCAAAGACTCCATCCACCCTAGTCATAGACTGTTCTCTCTGCTACCGCACGGCAAGCGGTACCGGAGTGCCAAGTCTAGGTCCAAAAGACTTCTCAACAGCTTCTACCCCCAAGCCATAAGACTCCTGAACAGCTAATCATGGCTACCCAGACTATTTGCACTGCCCCCCCACCCCATCTTTTTACACTGCTGCTACTCTGTTAATTATTAATGCATAGTCACTTTAACTCTACCCATATGTACATATTACTTCAACTACCTCAACTAGCCGGTGCCCCCGCACATTGACTCTGCACCGGTACCCCCCTGTATATACAGTATAGCCTCCCTACTGTTATTTTATTTTACTTCTGCTCTTTTTTTCTCAACACTTTTCTGTTGTTGTTTTATTTTACTTTTTTATTTAAAATAAATGCACTGTTGGTTAAGGGCTGTAAGCAAGCATTTCACTGTAATGTCTGCACCTGTTGTATTCGGCGCATGTGGCCAATAACATTTGATTTGATTTGATTTGATAAATAAGCTATTTCAAGTATTTTGCTCTATTTGATCCGATCCGAAGCGCAGTTTAATGGTAGAACAGACGGTTCACCTTTTCCATTGATGTTTGTAGGCTATTACATCTGAATACTGTAATATCAAATTTCTCGAGTAGACAATATTTAATGTATTAACATAATACATAATACATGTATCATATACATTGCAGAATAAATTCCTCACCTTTTCTGGCCATGATGAGTTCATATTCCCAAAGTAGCCATGCAACAAATTATCATTGTGCCTATTAGATAGCCTATTATAATTTCAAGTTTTTGCATCTGAAAGGGAGCGCGGTTTATAACATACAGTAAAATTCAACAAGTGAACAGACAGTTGATATTTTGCATTGAAGTGTGCAGGCTACCACTGTAAGTAGGCCTCCTGTAGTTTTAATTTTTTCCCAAGTACACAATGTTTCAGAATTCGCGAGCAGTACAGCATAGCCTATTTAGGTTCGGGAAAAAGTACATCCAAAACATTCTTGAATTCAAACGATCTGTTTGCAGGTCCACAACATTGTGCAATTGTTTTTGTCTTTCAGACACGTTTAGATACAGCAAATGTCACTGCAAAAAATAACATTCTGCTAACCCCTCCAAAAACATTGGTCAAGTACGCCATGCATTGCTATTTCGTTAGATATTGTCTTGGCCAAATTCCAATACTTCCAAAGTATACAGCAAATAGAAAAAAAATTGGCACCATAAAAAGTGAATTATGGGCATTTTTTCAGGTGGAGTTATAATGTTCGTTCACGCGCTCACAATTTCACGACATCTCTGATTTATAGCGTGCCCCAAGTTTATACAGTGAGGGAAAAAAGTATTTGATCCCCTGCTGATTTTGTACGTTTGCCCACTGATAAAGACATGATCAGTCTATCATTTTAATGGTAGGTTTATTTGAACAGTGAGAGACAGAATAACAACAAAAAAATCCAGAAAAATGCATGTGAAAAATTTTTGAAATTGATTTGCATTTTAATGAGGGAAATAAGTATTTGACCCCTCTGCAAAACATGACTTAGTACTTGGTGGCAAAACCCTTGTTGGCAATCACAGAGGTCAGACGTTTCTTGTAGTTGGCCACCAGGTTTGCACACATCTCAGGAGGGATTTTGTCCCACTCCTCTTTGCAGATCTTCTCCAAGTCATTAAGGTTTCGAGGCTGACGTTTGGCAACTCGAACCTTCAGCTCCCTCCACAGATTTTCTATGGGATTAAGGTCTGGAGACTGGCTAGGCCACTCCACGACCTTAATGTGCCTCTTCTTGAGCCACTCCTTTGTTGCCTTGGCCGTGTGTTTTGGGTCATTGTCATGCTGGAATACCCATCCACGACCCATTTTCAATGCCCTGGCTGAGGGTAGGTGGTTCTCACCCAAGATTTGACGGTACATGACCCCGTCCATCGTCCCTTTGATGCGGTGAAGTTGTACTGTCCCCTTAGCAGAAAAACACCCCCAAAGCATAATGTTTCCACCTCCATGTTTGACGGTGGGGATGGTGTTCTTGGGGTCATAGGCAGCATTCCTCCTCCTCCAAACACGGCGAGTTGAGTTGATGCCAAAGAGCTCAATTTTGGTCTCATCTGACCACAACACTTTCACCCAGTTCTCCTCTGAATCATTCAGATGTTCATTGGCAAACTTCAGACGGCCCTGTATATGTGCTTTCTTGAGCAGGGGGACCTTGCGGGTGCTGCAGGATTTCAGTCCTTCACGGCGTAATGTGTTACCAATTGTTTTCTTGGTGACTATGGTCCCAGCTGCCTTGAGATCATTGAAAAGGTCCTCCCCTGTAGTTCTGGGCTGATTCCTCACCGTTCTCATTATCAACTCCACGAGGTGAGATCTTGCATGGAGCCCCAGGCCGAGTGAGATTGACAGTTATTTTGTGTTTCTTCCATTTGCGAATGATCACACCAACTGTTGTCACCTTCTCACCAAGCTGCTTGGTGATGGTCTTGTAGCCCATTCCAGCCTTGTGTAGGTCTACAATCTTGCCCCTGACATCCTTAGAGAGCTCTTTGGTCTTGGCCATGGTGGAGAGTTTGGAATCTGATTGATTGATTGCTTCTGTGGACAGGTGTTTTTTATACAGGTAACAAGCTGAGATTAGGAGCACTCCCTTTAAGAGTGTGCTCCTAATCTCAGCTCGTTACCTGTATAAAAGACACCTGAGAGCCAGAAATCTTTCTGATTGAGAGGGGGTCAAATACTTATTTCCCTCATTAAAATGCAAATCAATTTATAACATTTTTGACATGCGTTTTTCTGGATTTTTGTTGTTGTTATTCTGTCTCTCACTGTTCAAATAAACCTACCATTAAAATTATAGACTGATCATGTCCTTGTCAGTGGGCAAACGTACAAAATCAGCAGGGGATCAAATACTTTTTTCCCTCACTGTAAATCTCAATATCTTTTCAGAAATGGCACACACATATATTTAGTGTTAAATTTACACAATGGTTATAAATGAGGCCCCAGGTCTGCTGACTCTTACCCTCATGCCCTCGAAGCGGGACAGCGCTCTCAGGGGCCTCAGCGCTCGCAGAGTCCTCAGGGACTTGATGGCACTCAGCTCAGCGTAGCCCAGGGCGTTGGCCACAAGACTGACCAAAGAGACCTGTAAACACAATGATGTCATCATGAGACACGCGACTACCTGATTGACACTCAGTGGAGGCTAGCCTCTGTCTCAAAGATATGTTTTAAACCAGGCAATGGTTCACTGTCTCGCCTTAACTACATTACATTATCATTTCAGCAATGAAACGACATTACAATGACTTTGCAATTACAAGGTGATTTTGACTTTACTCTGGCTATATATATACACACTACTGGTCAAAGGTTTTAGAACACCTACTCATTCAACAATTTTTCTTTATTTTTACTATTTTCTACATTGTAGAATAATAGTGAAGACATCAAAACTATGAAATAACACATATGGAATCATGTAGTAACCAGAAAAGTGTTAAACAAATCCAAATATATTTTATATTTGATATTCTTCAAATAGCCCCCCTTTGCCTTGATGACAGCTTTGCACACTATTGGTATTCTCTCAACCAGCTTCACCTGGAATGCTTTTCCAACAGTCTTGAAGGAGTTCCCACATATGCTGAGCACTTGTTGGCTGCTTTTCCTTGACTCTGCCGTCAGACTCATCCCAAACCATCTCAATTTGGTTGAGGTCGGGGGATTGTGGAGGCCAGGTCATCTGATGCAGCACTCCATCACTCTCCTTCTTGGTCAAATAGCCCTTACACAGCCTGGAGGTGTGTTGGGTCATTGTCCTGTTGAACAACAAATGATAGTCCCACTAAGCCCAAACCAGATGGTATGGCGTATCGCTGCAGAATGCTGTGGTAGCCATGCTGGTTAAGTTGAATTCTAAATAAATCCCAGACAGTGTCACCAGCAAAGCACCCCCACACCATAACACCTCCTCCATGTTTTACGGTGGGAAATACACATGCGGAGATCATCCGTTCACCCACACATAGTCTCACAAAAACACGGCGGTTGGAACAAAAAATCTCAATTTTGGACTCATCAGACCAAAGGACAAATTTCCACCAGTCTAATGTCCATTGCTCGTGTTTCATGGCCCAAGTAAGTCTCTTCTTCTTATTGGTGTCCTTTAGTAGTGATTTCTTTGCAGCAATTCGACCATGAAGGCCTGATTAACACAGTCTCCTCTGAACATGTTGAGATGTGTCTGTTACTGGAACTCTGTGAAGCATTTATTTGGCCTGCAATTTCTGAGGCTGGTAACTCTAATGAACTGCTGGTTGAGAGAATGCCAAGAGTGTGCAAAGCTGTTATCAAGGCAAAGGGTGGCTATTTGAAGAATCTCAAACATTAAATATATTTTGATCTGTTAAATACTTTTTTGGTTACTACATGATTCCATATGTGTTATTTCATAGTTTTGATGTCTTCACTATTATTCTACAATGTAGAAAATAGTACAAATAAAGAAAAGCCCTTGAAGGAGTAGGTGTTCTAAAACTTTTGACCGGTAGTGTATATATATATACACACAGTTGAAGTCGGAAGTTTACATGCACCTTAGCCAAATACATTTAAACTCAGTTTTTCACAATTCCTGACATATAATCCTAGTAAAAATTCATTGTCTTAGGTCAGTTAGGATCACCACTTTATTTTAAGAATATGAAAGGTCAGAATAATAGTAGAGAGAATTATTTATTTCATATTTTATTTCTTTCATCACATTCCCAGTGGGTCAGAAGTTTACATACACTCAATTAGTATTTGGTAGCATTGCCTTTAAATTGTTTAACTTGGGTCAAACGTTTTATGTAGCCTTCCAAAAGCAACTAAGTGTAACTGAGTCAGGTTTGTAGGCCTCCTTGCTCGCACACACTTGTTCAGTTCTGCCCACAAATGTTCTATAGGATTGAGGTCAGGGCTTTGTGATGGCCACTCCAATACGTTGACTTTGTTGTCCTTAAGACATTTTGCCAGACATTTGGGGTCATTGTCCATTTGGAAGACCCATTTGCGACCAAGCTTTAACTTCCTGACTGATGTCTTGAGATGTTGCTACAATATATTCACATAATTTTCCTTCCTCATGATGCCATCTATTTGGTGAAGTGCACCAGTCCATCCTGCAGCAAAGCACCCCCACAGCATGATGCTGCCACCCCGTGCTTCATGGTTGGGATGGTGTTCTTCGGCTTGCAAGCTACCCCCTTTTTCCTCCAAACATAACGATGGCCATTATGGCCAAACAATTATATGTTTGTTTCATCAGACCAGAGGACATTTCTCCAAAAAGTACAATCTTTGTCCCCATGTGCAGTTGCAAACTGTAGTCTGGCTTTTTTTGGCGGTTTTGGAGCAGTGGCTTCGTCGTTGCTGAGCGGCCTTTCAGGTTATGTGGATATAGGACTCGTTTTACTGTGGACATAGATACTTTTGTACCTGTTTCCTCTAGCGATGTCCTTTGCTGTTGTTCTGGGATTGATTGACACTTTTCGCACCAAAGTACGTCCATCTCTAGGAGACAGAACGCGTCTCCTTCCTGAGCGGTATGACGGCTGCGTGGTCCCATGGTGTTTATACTTGCGTACTATTGTTTGTACAGATGAACGTGGTACCTTCAGGCGTTTGGAAATTGCTCCCAAGGAAGAACCAGACTTGTGGAGGTCTAAAAAAAGAAATTGGGAGGTTTTGGCTGATTTCTTTTGATTTTCCCATGATGTCAAGCAAAGAGGCACTGAGTTTGAAGGTAGGCCTTGAAATACATCCCCAGTTACACCTCCAATTTACTCAAATTATGTCAATTAGCCTATCAGAAGCTTCTAAAGCAATGACATCATTTTCTGGAATTTTCCAAGCTGTTTAAAAGCACAGTCAACTTAGTGTATGTAAACTTCTGAGTCACTTGAATTGTGATACAGTGAATTATAAGTGAAATAATTTGTCTGTAAACAATTGTTGGAAAAATTACTTGTGTCATGCACACAGTAGACTGACTTGCCAAAACTATAGTTTGTTAACAAGAAATTTGTGGAGTGGTTGAAAAATGAGTTTTAATGACTCCAACCTAAGTGTATGTAAACTTCCGACTTCAACTGTATATATTTATTGTGCAAGTGAAGACATAGTTTTAAAAAAGACCTACGTCAACAATAAGGAAGTCCAACCAGCACCAGGTGTTGGTGAAGTATTTGGCGAATCCATAGGCCACCCACTTCAGCAACATCTCCAGGATAAAGATGTAGGTGAAGACTTTGTCTGCAAACTCCAACACGGTCTTAATGGTCTTCCTCTGTTCGATGTAGATGTCCTCAAATGCCTTGGTGTAAACACAAGCAAATCACTTCCTATAACCCACACTAATCTCATACACCAGAGCAGCTGCTGCTGCCTCATCAGATCTGTTACCAGTTAATTCTGTGTCAAGGATCACAGAATGGTCAATTACACAGTACTAAGCACAGAACAACCCTCACAGCATTTCTACTCCATTGTTTCTCATAAGGGTACTACTGTAAGTCAGACAATGGAGGATAATCTGCCTGCCCTCTCTCTCATAGCCTCAGATCCTTCCCCAAATCATTACTTCCCCACTCACCAGCGCTCCACTGCTGAGCAGGATCATGAAGATGATAAAGCTCTCGAACCAGTTGTGCTCCACTATCCTGAAGCAGGTCTTCCTCAATGTCCACCACATCTTCCACTTGCCCTCATCGACGTTCACTTGGCAGCATTGGAATCTACGGACACAGTCTGAAAGCAGACAACATTGGTTAACAGATAATACTTCTGTTATATTTGTGTCTTATGATTCTATTATAAAGATCACCTCATTCCTAGAGAAATGCCCATGACGAATGTCTAACTATTTTCTGATCAGACCCATTCTATTTCTGGGTTCCAGCTTGTTATGCCTGAAGCCATTCACAAAAAAACAATACCCACATCCTGAGATGTAGCCTATTGTATCTCTCACCATCAGTGAAGCATCCTTCAGCTTCCATGGACTCCTCAGGCTCCATGTCCACCAAGCCCTCTCTCTCTCCTGGGGGCCTGATGTCCACTGTACTGCCCTCTGATGAGCTCAGTGGACGGTCTTTAGCTAGCTGCTGCAAGGGGAGCGAAGCCAGAGCAACATTAGCATAACACACCCGTGACAGGGCCTGGGAATCTAGCATTTGCCCGGGAGCTGACATACTGAGCCTCATTACAATGGGTCACCCAGTGATGCAAGGGTGCTTGCCATATGTAAGCTCACAGGGTCTTTGTCTTTGTTTAGAGTTGTAACATTTCATGCAGAATCAATCAAAAGTACCTACAGACTTAGGAGATGAGACACGTATAGTTTGGAAAGTCAAATTGTAGGCTAACAGATGCTGGTATACTGTTGGAAAATATATTTGTATCTCGATAAAGGCTGTAGGTAAAAATGATTTCACTTTAGTCATATGGCATGCTTTCTCTAAAAGTGTGTGTTTGAACCAAGCCTGTGTGCGCCAGTATTTTCATGTCCAGGACTTTTTGACCCAAACAAACTGTTTTTTCCCCCTTTACATTTCCCTCATTGACATGAAAACACATATGTCCAGTTGCTAAGCAGTAGACAAGCCTCATTCATTTAAAAAGAGGGTAGCCTGCATTAGCTTAACAGCAGATATAACAGTGTTGTGCACTTTAACCAAGACAGGCATTAAGGAGTCTGCATTCCAGGCTAGTGTCAGATTAGGACCGCCTAATCACTCAAACCTTCCCTGGAGACAGGGCATTAAACACCTGAGACAAGATAAGTTGAGAGAGTAATGTGGTTTTATTGGGGAAACAATGTAGTTATAGATCCTATATGGTTTTACAAAGCCTTTGTGATTTTTGGACCAATGTGGATCACACAATAAACCAGCAGCATACCACCCTGCATCCCACTGCTGGCTTGCCTCTAAAAGTGCTGGCTTGCCTCTAAAAGCTAAGCAGGGTTGGTACTGGATGGGAGACCAGATGCTGCTGGAAGTGGTTTTGGGCCAGTAGGAGGCACTCTTTCCTCTGCCCCCCCACTCTTTCCAATGTCTGACAATAGAAAATAGTGCTTAGAAAATGTCCTAAATACAGTGCAATAACTAGAGGAAAGCTGCTTTTAGAAGAGGTGTGCTGGATTACAAAATATATCAACTTCACCATGCAATGATGTCAAACATCTAATACACTTGACAATATTCAAACATGGGCCAATTGTATGAGGTTTGTCAATAATTAGCTTATTCACCGTGTCTCCTCAAGCACTTGGTGTCTTTCTACTGGGTGTGTCTTCCAACAGCCTTGAACTGAGAGCAGCCTTAATGCCTTTCTGGAGAGTGCAACAGCACTGAGCTGTCATGGGACCTAGCTAATGCAGAATGGGGAATGATGTGCATGCTACAATGATATATGCGCTGAATACTCAATTTGACTATGCTACTGCAATCATAGAGATGTTTGACCTTCAATTTAGGTACTATTGTAGGCACTACGATGTCTTCTCATTTCCATATGCTGTACAATATACTCTACTATCTGTTATTAGTAGTAACCAAAGAAGTTGCACCTCTTTTGGACTTGAGCTTATTCAGCTACCTAAGTAAATTATAATTAGTCATTACTATATAAAAGTAGTATTTATGCTCTGTATTCTTACCTGCACTATCATTAATAACGGTATGCCTACTAGCAACAACATTTATTTTGGAAACCCAGCTGATTGAAATAATTATGTTCTTCTTAAAAACAAGCATTTGTAATCATCTGCTTTCATCATTCCATTATGGATAATATTTGTCCTCCAATGAATTTTGATCTTCAAAATCCATTACTCTACAGCATTTCAGTCAGATTTGTTAAGCTCCAGGTGCTCTCTGGCTGCTGAGCAATCCAGTCCCCAAGACAAAACCAAACCAAAGGAACAAAACAAAAGAATAACCATGGGCTGAACTGTTGATGGAAACAGTGGTGTTGATCATTCATTAAAAAAGGAAGTATTGCAAAGAAGCCTTATATCAAAAATGGAAGAAAAAAACATCAGGGTTGGCAGCATCAGAACGGCTGCTGAATGAATATAAATGAAGTAGGGAGTAAAGTATGATCAAGCAGAAACAAACATAGATGAGCAATCCAATAAAAAGGTTGTTCCTTTTTGGTAAATGGAATAGGCAACCTCCATGGTTAGTGTTATGTACAATAAAGTGGTCTTACAAGTCTCCTCTCATTGAAAACCTTGAGAGCGTCTGTGAAACAGCTGCAATAACAAATGGGGTTAAGTGTGGTAAGTTACTGTCCCACATGCTACCTGGTCTGGAAGCAAAGCATGTTAGTCACATATTAACCTCTCAGAAAGTACACTTACAAGTGAAGGAAATACAATCTCACCAAATTTACAACAGTCATTATTGTTAAATAATAAATAGTAATTACAGTATCATAACAACATGAACAGCACCGTACAACAACATCAGCTAAATTACACTGTAACAGTGACATTTTATGATTGTCTGACTGCAATGTTACCATAGATACTAATTCACAGTAGGCCCTCAGTTTATACCATATTCTGAGAGAGAGAGCGAGAGCGAGAGAGAGAGAGCGAGAGAGAGAGAGAGAGGGGGGGGGGGGGCTGGCTATCTACAACACAAGGCATTAAAGCTCCCTAAAGAGGAGGATGTCGCTGCATAGCACTCAGACTTCAATGGCACATAATGTAATTTGAAGAAAAGTATTTTCCTGTCTCTCAGGCTTCTCCTCGTTAAAGGGTCATGGTATACAGGGACTCCAGGGGATCCATAATGTCACATGCTCATACTTTGCTTGCCATGCACCATAGGTTAAGTGCACCAGCATGACCACTGCAATGGAAGTTCCTACTTATCTGAAACAACAAATGCATCCGCATATGGACCACACAACAGCCAATATCTGAATCGGTCTTCATCCATCGTTCATATTCTATTTGCCTCTCGCTCTATTTTGTCAGCCTAGGCCATAAAATTAGGAGCCATTGATAGATGAGACATCGGAAGTTATACAGAAACGTAGTGATCACTAACGGCCCAAGCCTAACATGAGATCTGAGAAATTACCCCGACTTGCATATCTCTCATTGACATCAATACTGTACATGATCTAAAACTGTGATAAGGGAACTGGAGGGACTAAATGTTATTGTTCCCTGGATAAAATATAATGACAGTATTTTCATAATTGTGCATAATTTTGGGGAATTCTTTGAGTGTGGTCATTACATGTTGGCAACCTTGTACATATGCAGCTGTTCTATGTCCATAACTTACAACTGATTAACACCCGAATGAACAGCGAGTGAAAGGCCAGCAATTCCCTCTTTCTAAGCTCTAATGTGCCAAACACGCACAATATTACATTATAATATTTGAGCATCACCTGGCTCTGGCTGTCACCATTTGCAGATACTGCATCACTTGGAAAAAGTGCAATCATCTCTAATGAGTCATTCCAATGTAATTATGTTAGATAATGTGGACAAACAAGAGCAAACAAGCAGATATTTGCATAATATCACTGTCTTTTTGAAGCTCATAACGTCACTGTCTTTTTTTTCAAATCGTAAACCTAGATCAACAGTTGATTTCAAACTATGTACAAGAATTTCAGACTGTGTACTACTTCCACATAGAATCATGCCAGACCAAATCAAGTGAACATGCTCACCTCTTTGCTTCCCTCTATGTCCGAGGAATCGCTGCTGAAGTCCTCAGTGTTGAGGTTCTCAAAGTCCGACTCCCCCACAGCGATGGGCACTGTGACAGTCAGACTGGGGTTGTGGATGAACTGCATGTAGTCAGTGTTGTCGTTGACTATGTACTTCCCTGCTGCATTGCTGCCCACTCCAACCCCACCGGTGGTGCCGTTGTCATCCTTCACGTATTCAGGGTCTTTCATGATCTCCACAGTGGTGTGGTTGGAGTTGTAGTTGGTTTTATGGAGGTCATCCAGGGGCTTGTCCTCATTCAGGCTCCCCTTCTTTTTCCTCAGACATATGCTGTGGAAGGAGCGGCGCACCAAGGCCTTGACGAAGGCGATACCCTGGTGGATGCGGCCTATGGCCACCGTCAGATTGTTCATCTCGCTGTCATCATCCGTGGCCGCCAGGTTATCAGCACTGAACGAGCTCAGCAGCAAGGCCAGGAACAGGTTCAGGACCTGCCACACACACACACAAACACACACACATTATGTTTCAAAGTTACTGTAATTGATAAAAACTTACAGTGGATTAACAGTAATACAGATACAGCATAGAGCTGAAAACTTACCACCAGGTTCCCAATGACCATGACCATCATAAAGACGATGAGACACATGCTCTGGCCAGCCACCTCCATGCAGTCCCACATGGTCTCGATCCACTCCCCGCACAGCACCCGAAACACAATCAGGAAGGAGTGGAAGAAGTCATGCATGTGCCAGCGGGGCAGTGTACAGTCTGTAGAGATCTTACACACACAGTCTCTGTAGCTCTTCCCAAACAGCTGCATGCCCACCACGGCGAAGATGAAGACGATGATGGCCAGGACCAGGGTGAGGTTACCCAGAGCCCCCACTGAGTTACCAATGATCTTGATCAGCATGTTCAGTGTGGGCCAAGACTTGGCCAGTTTGAATACTCTCAGCTGCATACAAAAATGAGAATAGGATTAATATTCATTGCTATTCCAATATGTTCACAGTCTACTTTTTACCAGTGATTATTGACTGAACATGCAGCATATTGGATGCTGTGCTGGAGTGTCAATGCTCTGCTCTTACCAATCGGAATGATCTGAGGACAGACATTCCAGGCACGTTGGCCAAGCCAAGCTCCATCAAGCTCAAACTGACAATGATACCATCAAATATATTCCAGCCTTCCTTAAAATAACAGTACGGATCCAAAGCAATAATCTTGAAACACATCTCAGCTGTGAAGATACCCGTGAACACCTGAGTAAAACAACACACAAAACAGTGACAACAGTAATTAACATGTCATGGTGGGTCTAAAATGGCCGATTCAAAGTGATATGGCAAAAAAGAATGACGTACCAGGTTTCCCATAGAAAGCATTTTGTTGAAATCCCCAGACATTGGGTGGTGCTCCATAGCCATGAACACTGTGTTCATAACAATGCAAATGGTGATAGTCAGGTCTACAAACGGGTCCATCACGATCATCTTGACTATCTTCTTGATCCTCAGCCACGCTGGACAACAGTCCCAGATGAGGAAGGTGTTGGAGAACTTGTACCAGCAAGGAGGGCACTTCTGTCTCGACTCTTCAAGTTCTGATACATATAGAGGAGAAATAACAGAAAAACATTTGTTTTATGAATGTGTCCTCATTTTGTCTATTCATGCTATTTGTTTTAGGGGGTGTCTAGGGTATGGCATAGTCGTACACACCTTCCATAGTGTTAGTTAGAACACTAGCTACACTGAAGGCCCTCTGCCTGGCCCCTGGGTCCTCCAGGAAGTCCATAGAGGCCTGGTACGATCCACTTTGGGCCTTCCTGTACTCTGTCTCCGTGGTGTTGCCCTGGACGTACATAGATTCATCTGTTACATAAAGTTACATCATTTGGAAGCATCTTCAATGGATTGATAAGTCATCACAAACCAATTGCATCAGCAGTTAGCACAAAGTTACCGACAAAAGATGGCTATGTTTAAGAGGCTTAATAATCGCTTAACCAGGATGTTATCTATTAAACCCAAAAAATACTGTATTTGCAATCACATCAATAGAAATATTGAAATAGGTTCGTACAAATATGGAATATTACACAATCTATATGAAAACTAGATATGTTTATACTGCCTTCTATTACATTTTTTAAAACAAATGTTATTTTTTTGTGTGTACATGTCGTGTATACAGTATAAGACCAAGGAAAACACATCTAGTCAGAAAGAGAGAAGGGAAACCAACAAGAGACACACTACAACACCACAGCAGAACTACAGTAGAGGCTCGGTAGGTGGAGACAGCACAGAGCTGGTCTAGGCCATCCAGGCTAAACCACACTTCCTTACGTTGTCATCGGTAGAGGCCTTATCTACCGTCACCTCTGGCAGAAGGAGTCCCTCAGGTGATGTGGGAAGTGAAGCCCTGCCCACCAGGGACACCACCCCGTTGCAGTCCACGGAGCTGTGCTTCTTCCCATTGGCCGGCAGCAGGACGTGTGACGACATGCTGTTCTGGCTCAGGTTGCTGGAGCGCCGGTCACTCCGCCGGGGGACAAACAGAGAGCCCCGGCGACTGTCGTTGTCCTCGAAAGTGCTGTTCTCGTCGTCGGCAAAGTCATTCTCCGAGCCCATGTCTTGCGCTCGGTCCCGGAAGCTGAAGAGGCTAGCCTGGCTGTTCCGTCTGGATGACAACAGGGGTCCACGGATACTCAGGAAGGACTGGGAGAGAAAGATATTCCTCAGTGCCTATCACTGGTATAAGCATGGGTTAAGAAGTGGAGTAATTTAAGATGGAAGAGTGGGTCCTGTAGATGATGATGATTTTGATGAAGATGATGCAATGATGTTGATTATCTAGAGGATGACCTCATGGATAATATAAAAGGAAATGTGCAAGAGCATGATGAAGAGGATAATGATGATTATGATGATAAGCACAATGCTGCTGCTTCTGCTGCTTCTGCTGCTGCTGCTGATGATAGTGATTACGATGATAAGGAAATTGTGGAATTGAAAGATGATGGTGCTGCTGAAAATGGAGATGATAGCGTAGCGATGATATTGATAATGAAGACGATATTGATGACGAAAATAATGATGATGATGATGATGAGGACAAAATTTTAATCAAAAAGAAAATAAATAATGTTGATGATGATGCAAGTAATCCTTACACCAATCAGGGGTAGATTCACTATGGAGTGTGTAGCATGCACAACAATACAGCAATACAGGGAACACACATAGTTTTAATAGCGAAAGGTAAAGATAGGGGAAAGAAGCAGGTAAAACCAATAAGAGTAGCCTGACCTGGTGTGGTGTGGAACATCTCACGTCGTAGCTGAGCAGGTTGGAGGCATCCATGGAGAAGCGGAAATGACTCTTTTGCATACTGCCCTCAGACTCAGACCTGTGAAACTTGTCATTTTCCCCTCTCTCCTCCTCCTCCTCTCTCTGCTTCCTCTTCTTGCGCCTGTTGCGTCTCTCTTTGGCGCTCTTGGAGCTGAGTTTGGAGGCCTCTGAGGAGGTTTCAGAGAGCCCCCCTCTCTCACTGAACTCCCCGCTCTCAGCTGCTATCACCGCTGCTGCCGCCTGTAAGCCAATCAACACACAGAAACCACTGTCGTCAAGGGCAACACAAGACTCAGCAGCAGCAGCACATCAGAAATAGACACAATAAGCTATTAAATGTCCGTTAAATTTAGATTGCCACCTTTGTGCCTTTAAATACCTTTGAACCTTTGAATACATACACTACCGTTCAAAAGTTTGGGGTCACTTAGAAATGTCCTTGTTTTCGAAAGAAAGCGGTGACTCCGGGATGCTGACCTTCTAGGCAGAGTTGCAAAGAAAAAGCCATAACTCAGACTAGCCCATCTTAATCTTTTATTTTTATTGGCCAGTCTGAGATATGGCTTTTTCTTTGCAACTCTGCCTAGAAGGTCAGCATCCCAGAGTCGCCTCTTCACTGTTGACATTGAGACTGGTGTTTTGCGAGTACTATTTAATGAAGCTGCCAGTTGAGGACCTGTGAGGCGTCTGTTTCTCAAACTAGACACTCTAATGTATTTGTCCTCTTGCTCAGTTGTGCACCTGGGCCTCCCACTCCTCTTTCTATTCTGGTTAGAGCCAGTTTGCGCTGTTCTGTGAAGGGAGTTGTACACAGCGTTGTACAAGATCTTCAGTTTCTTGGCAATTTCTCGCATGGAATAGCCTTCATTTCTCAGAACAAGAATAGACTGACAAGTTTCAGAAGAAAGTTAAGTTATTGGTTTCTGGCCATTTTAAGCCTGTAATCGGATCCACAATTGCTGATGCTCCAGATACTCAACTAGTCTCAAGATGGCCAGTTTCATTGCTTCTTTAATCAGCACAACAGTTTTCAGCTGTGCTAACATAATTGCAAAAGGGTTTTCTAATGATCAATTAGCCTTTTAAAATGATAAATTTGGATTAGCAAACAAAACGTGTCATTGGAACACAGGACATGGTTGCTGATAATGGGCCTCTGTACGCCTACAGTGGGGAAAAAAAGTATTTAGTCAGCCACCAATTGTGCAAGTTCTCCCACTTAAAAATATGAGAGAGGCCTGTAATTTTCATCATAGGTACACGTCAACTATGACAGACAAAATGAGAAAAAGAAATCCAGAAAATCACATTGTAGGATTTTTTATGAATTTATTTGCAAATTCTGGTGGAAAATAAGTATTTGGTCAATAACAAAAGTTTCTCAATACTTTGTTATATACCCTTTGTTGGCAATGACACAGGTCAAACGTTTTCTGTAAGTCTTCACAAGGTTTTCACACACTGTTGCTGGTATTTTGGCCCATTCCTCCATGCAGATCTCCTCTAGAGCAGTGATGTTTTGGGGCTGTCGCTGGGCAACACGGACTTTCAACTCCCTCCAAAGATTTTCTATGGGGTTGAGATCTGGAGACTGGCTAGGCCACTCCAGGACCTTGAAATGCTTCTTACGAAGCCACTCCTTCGTTGCCGGGGCGGTGTGTTTGGGATCATTGTCATGCTGAAAGACCCAGCCACGTTTCATCTTCAATGCCCTTGCTGATGGAAGGAGGTTTTCACTCAAAATCTCACAATACATGGCCCCATTCATTCTTTCCTTTACACGGATCAGTCGTCCTGGTCCCTTTGCAGAAAAACAGCCCCAAAGCATGATGTTTCCACCCCCATGCTTCACAGTAGGTATGGTGTTCTTTGGATGCAACTCAGCATTCTTTGTCCTCCAAACACGACAAGTTGAGTTTTTACCAAAAGGTTCTATTTTGGTTTCATCTGACCATATGACATTCTCCCAATCCTCTTCTGGATCATCCAAATGCACTCTAGCAAACTTCAGACGGGCCTGGACATGTACTGGCTTAAGCAGGGGGACACGTCTGGCACTGCAGGATTTGAGTCCCTGGCGGCGTAGTGTGTTACTGATGGTAGGCTTTGTTACTTTGGTCCCAGCTCTCTGCAGGTCATTCACTAGGTCCCCCCGTGTGGTTCTGGCATTTTTGCTCACCGTTCTTGTGATCATTTTGACCCCACAGGGTGAGATCTTGTGTGGAGCCCCAGATCGAGGGAGATTATCAGTGGTCTTGTATGTCTTCCATTTCCTAATAATTGCTCCCACAGTTGATTTCTTCAAACCAAGCTGCTTACCTATTGCAGATTCAGTCTTCCCAGCCTGGTGCAGGGCTACAATTTTGTTTCTGGTGTCCTTTGACAGCTCTTTGGTCTTGGCCATAGTGGAGTTTGGAGTGTGACTGTTTGAGGTTGTGGACAGGTGTCTTTTATACTGATAACAAGTTCAAACAGGTGCCATTAATACAGGTTACGAGTGGAGGACAGAGGAGCCTCTTAAAGAAGAAGTTACAGGTCTGTGAGAGCCAGAAATCTTGCTTGTTTGTAGGTGACCAAATACTTATTTTCCACCATAATTTGCAAATAAATTCATAAAAAATCCTACAATGTGATTTTCTGGAAAGAAAAATGCTCAATTTGTCTGTCATAGTTGACGTGTACCTATGATGAAAATTACAGGCCTCTCTCATCTTTTTAAGTGGGAGAACTTGCACAATTGGTGGCTGACTAAATACTTTTTTTCCCCACTGTATGTATGTATCCATTTACAACATTAACAATGTCTACACTGTATTTCTGATCAATTTGATGTTTTTTAATGGACAAAAAATTTGCTTTTCTTTCGAAAACAAGGAAATGTCTAAGTGACCCCAAACTTTTGAACAGTAGTGTATACAAATATTGGAAGCTTATGCAGGGCATTTTCATTTCATGGTAAAAATCAGATAACACTAACAGTATCAATGACTGAACATTTTTTACTGTTAACGGCATTCCAAGGTTGTTGAAATGGGTGTGCTATAATTAAGCAATAAGGCCCGAGGGGGTGTGGTATATGGCCAATATACTATGGCTAAGGGCAGTTCTTATGCAAGACGCATCGCGGAGTGCCTTGATATAGCCCTTAGCCGTGGTATATTGGCCATATACGACAAACCCGAGGTGCCTTATTGCTATTATTACCAACGTAATTAGAAGAGTCAAAATAAATGTTTGGTCATACCTGTGGTATACGATCTGATATACCATATCTTTCAGCCAATCAGCATTCAGGGCTCAAACCACCTAATTTATGATGGGATTTAGATGGGTGACATCTTGTACCTGTGCGTCCTCCTGCTGTCTCTTCAGCTGCTGAAACTCCTCCTCCTTCTGCTGAGCCTCCTCAATGGTGGCCTGGTTCTGCTCGTCGTAGGCCATGGCAACCACAGCCAGGATCAGGTTGATCAGGTAGAAGGAGCCCAGGAAGATGACCAACACAAAGAAGATCATGTATGGCTTCCCAGCAGCCCTCAGGGTCTGGAAGAGAGACAGTATGTAACAACACCTCTTATAACAGTCCCGTGTAGCTCAGTTGGTAGAGCATGGCGTTTGCAACGCCAGAGTTGTGGGTTCGTTTCCCACGGGGGACCAGTATGAAAAAAAAATGTATGCACTCACTACCTGTAAGTCGCTCTGGATAAGAGCGTCTGCTAAATGACTGCAAAATGACTAAAATGTAAATAACACATCTCTATTTCTAACAAGTCACTCAGTGATACCCAAGAGCTTCACTGCATATACTCTCAGAGCACAGAAGCTGTCACAAATAGGTCTGTCCAATGACAACACAAGGAGTTCCTTCCACATGTTAAAAATAAAAAGCCTCCAGTATCACATGGCATGAAGCAGACAAACCATAGAGTTGGATAGATGGCCCAAAGCCTGTTTTAGCCAGGGCAGCGCCATTGAGGTAACCTTGTGGAACCAGCCTGATCGCTGTGTTCACCATTCTGTAAATAGAATGGCAATCAGGCTGGTTCCACCAGGCTACCATTGAGGGCTTTCACAGATTTTGAAGTTGTCAATTCGGTGGCAAACATTCCATAACTGCAAGTGGCAGTTAATGACCAACCTTGGCTTTATACTGTTCCTGATTAGATTATAAACTCCAGCAAAGTGGGGGGTGGTATGCACATTTTCAGTCTATTTAAGAACTGCCAGTACACTCAAATAAGTAAAATGGACTACTTTAAAATTGAGATATTCCTCATGGTGCTGCGCATGCTGTCACAAAAGGGGCCATTGCAAAGACAGGAGATGAGCTCTCTAGTACCTGCTGGTACAGGTTCTCCCAGTAGTCCTGAGTCATCAGTCTAAACAGAGACAGGAAGGCCCAACTGAACGTGTCAAAGCTGGTGTAGCCGTAGTCTGGGTTCCGGCCCGCTTTGACGCACGAGAATCCCTCTGGGCACAGCCTACAACAAACGACAAGCCAATCATAATCACTATCTCTACATTCACAAAATCCTGTTTTCACAATACGTTTATTTTGATGTTAAAGCACAAAGACATGCACGAGAACAAGCACGTACACACCCGCATGCATACACACAAACAAGAACAATTAATAGTGCATCCTGATGATCAGACACAAAGACAGTAATGTGGGCTCGATCTTACCCAGCACCACTGTTATTTCCACAAAGCAAAGCATCCCTTTTACCTGGGAGGTAGTAATAGTTTTCTACAGGAAAAAGAGACAAAGTCAATCTTTCACCAACTGCAAAAAGGATAAATGATTTCCGTCCTCAATACCATCACAGCATTGTAACAAGAGAACAGTTCAAAGCTTTAATCACAAGAAGCACTTTCTCTGGTCATTAGAAATGCTCTATCCATTTTCTCCCCTCTTATCCCATGGCTGCCCAGGCCTTAGTGTCATGGCCATCAGGGTGCCACTGCCATTTTCCCCACTTGGGTGGTGACTCAATACCCTCCGTGTTGACAAGTTAAACATTCCACTAGTATCATCCACCAACAGCCAGTCTTATGATTAACCGCCACACTACTTCCCACCAGAAGCTCTTACAAACCCCTCTCAGCCATTCCTGTCATTTTACATTACGCTCTTCAGCCGGGGTCTGCTTGTTTGGCTATTAGCAATGAGCTGTGACTCACACACTGTAGTCCGAGGCTACTAGCAGGGCCTTCACTAACCCTCCAATGACCGTCTGAATCCAAAGAAACATGCTTACTGGGATCATTCATGTAATAGGTCCAGTTGAACGAGCTGGTCTTGTTGAAGTCCGTCCCATTAAAGTCGAATGTATCATTCAAGAGGTTGGTTGAGTTAAGAGGGATCCTTAAACATTTGTTTCTTAAATTGCCCATAAACAGCTGCAGCCCTACTAGGGCAAATACACTTAGGCAGAATACAGTGAGGATCATCACGTCTGACAGTTTCTTCACTGACTGGATCAGCGCTCCCACAATGGTCTTCAGGCCTGCAGTACACGACAGAACCTCACTGTTATTCGCATAGGAGTATTATACAGTGTATGGAAAGAAGACGCCGTCATTTGTATACAATGCAAACATCACAGCATGTCTGTTGCTTCATATGTTTAAAAGAAAATGTGTGTGAATGTATCCAAAAGAAGCTGCTCATATAATTCTCAGAGATTTAAATGCTGGCAGTGCAGTGTCACATTCTATTGTCTCAGTGTCACATTCTACATTCTATTGTTATAATGTCCAGGTAGTTCTGGCCACAAATCGACATATGTCATAGTAGATTATTATACCTGTGTGTAATAAACCCTACTAAAAGCTTGGATCAGAAAAGATGACTTAGAGTACTATAACAAAAACATGCATGTCTGTGAGGGTGGGCCTGTGTCACAATCAGCTCTGACATATGACACACCCTTACATGTCTGTTGCTTCATATGTTTAAATGAAAACAGTGTGAATGTGTCCAAAAGAAGCTGCTCATATAACTGTCAAAGATTGGTTTGCTGGCAGTGCAGTGACACATTCTACTGTCTCAATGGGTCGTACACCATGAGAATGTTTAATCTGTTACTCCTAGGGTTGCAAAGTGAGGGTATATTACTGGAAACGTTAGAAGTTTACCAGTAAACTACCAGGATTTTGGTATTTTTCAAGAATTTAATGTAATCTATTACAAGACATCTGGTCAGCCCTTTTGGGTACTTCAGATTAACAAAGGTGTCTGTAATTATCTCTGACCCTCTATGTGGCCTTATCACATGTTAAATATATGACATAATTAAATAAGATTATTTAAAAATAAAACATATAATGACAAAGCTGTAAAACATTATCCTAAATATAAATCATCAACTTAGTGAATACCATTGGTGTTTAATATGAGCGTTTCAGCATAATATCCTTTATATATTTTTTTACAAACGTTATATTTATTTTACTATGTCAGTATGTGTTTGTTGTCAATGTTTTGGTGTCAAATTGGTGGCAGTTGTGAAGAAAAGTCCTCCTGTAGCTCAGTTGGTAGAGCATGGCGCTTGCAACGCCAGGGTTGTGGGTTCGATTCCCACGGGGGGGCCAGTTTGAAAAAATGTATGCACTCACTAACTGTAAGTCGCTCTGGATAAGAGCGTCTGCTAAATGACTATTAAAACAAATTTAAAAAAGTCAATAGTTGGAGTTATTTGAAAATAATGCCATTGTTGATTAGATGTTTTTTTCATTAATTAGGCTACTTTCTCTTGAACCATATGGTCTATTTACTAGAAACTCATAGACAATACGGACACAGATATACAAAATTAATACTATATATATTCAATTATGAATTACCAAATTTACGATAGATTGCAATAGATTTTCTGTTAATTACCCCAATTACTGAAGATTCCGGTAACTTTGGTAAATTACCAGTATCTTTGCAACCCTAGTTATACCATGTTATTTTCTCCACTAGAATTATATGAGCCATGATAAGCACATTATCTTTTATGACTAATCCAAATCCCAGTAATATGTTTATAGCACACATTCATACATGACAATGTAGCTTAAAATTAATTCCCTTATTGCTCTAAGGGTGATTATAAAAAAAACAATAAGCTAAGGAAGTCCTACTCATAGTTCTTATAATGTCCAGGCAGTTCTGGCCAAAATTGACATACAGTGCATTCGGAAAGTATTCAGACCCTACCCTTTTTCCCACGTGTTGTTACGTTACAGTCTTATTCTAAAATGGATTAAATAAAAAAAATACTCATCAATCTACGCACAATACCCCATAATGACAAATCGATTTTAGCAAATGTATCAACAAAAAAAAACTGAAATATCACATTTACTTAAGTATTCAGACCCTTTGCTTTGAGACTCGAAATTGTGCACAGGTGCATCCTATTTCCATTGATCATCCTTGAGATGTTTCTACAACTTGATTGGAATCCACCTGTGGTAAACTCAATTGATTGGACATGATTTGGAAAGGCACACACCTGTCTATATAAGGTCCCACAATTGACAGTGCAGATCAGAGCAAAAACCAAGCCATGAGGTCGAAAGAATTGTCCGTAGAGCTCCGAGACAGGATTGTGTCAAGGCACAGATCTGGGGAAGGGTACCAAAAAATGTCTGCAGCATTGAAGGTCTCCAAGAACACAGTGGCCTCCATCATTCTTAAATGAAAGAAGTTTGGAACCACCAAGACTCTTCCTAGAGCTGGCCGCCCAGCCAAACTGAGCAATCGGGGGAAGAAGGGCCTTGGTCAGGGAGGTGACCAAGAACCCGATGGTCAATCTGACAGAGCTCCAGAGTTCCTCTGTGGAGATGGGAGAACCTTCCAGAAGGACAACCATCTCTGCAGCACTCCACCAATCAGGCCTTTATGATAGAGTGGCTAGATGGAAGCCACTCTTCAGTAAAAGGCACATGACAGCCCGCTTGGAGTTTGCCAAAAGGCACCTAAACGACTCTCAGACCATGAGAAACAAGATTCTCTAGTCTGATGAAACCAAGATTGAACTCTTTGGCCTGAAAGCCAAGCATCACGTCTGGAGGAAACCTGGCACCATCCTTATGGTGAAGCATAGTGGTGGCAGCATCATGCTGTGGGGATGTTTTTCAGTGGCAGGGACTGGGAGACTAGTCAGGATCGAGGGAAAGATGAACAGAGCAAAGTACAGAGAGATCCTTGATGAAAACCTGCTCCAGAGCGCTCAGGACCTCAGACTGGGGCGAAGGTTCACCTTCCAACAGGACAATGACCCTAAGCACACAGCCAAGACAACGCAGGAGTGTCTTCGGGACAAGTCTCTGAATGTCCTTGAGTGGCCTAGCAGCCAGAGCCTGGACTTGAACCCGATCAAACATCTCTGGAGAGACCTGAAAATATCTGTGCAGCGACACTCCCCATCCAAACTGACAGAGCTTGAGAGGATCTGCAGAGAAGAATGGGAGAAATTCCCCAAACAGGTGTGCCAAGCTTGTCGCATCATACCAAAGAAGACTCGAAGCTGTAATCACTGCCAAAGGTGCTTCAATAAAGTACTGAGTAAAGGGTCTGAATACTTACGTAAATTTGATATTTGAAATTTGAATTTGCAAAAAAAAACTGTTTTTGCTTTGTCATTATGGGGTATTGTGTGTAGATTGATGAGGGAAAAAACCAATTGAATCCATTTTAGAATAAGGCTGTAACGTAACAACATGAGGAAAAAGTCAAGGGGTCTGAATACTTTCCAAATGCACTGCATGTATGTTGTACTGTAGATATACCAGTGTGTTATAAACCTTACTAAGAGCTTGGATCAGAAAATATGTCTTAGAGTACAATAACAAAAGCATGCATGTCTGTGAGCATGTCTGTGAGGGTGGACATGCATCACGATCAGCTCTGACATATGACACACCTTTACTAGACCAACAGCACAGTCAGGAGCAGTTGAACGAAGGCAGACACCCCAGTCAGGGAGGACACTGACAAGCAACCATCTCAAACAGCAAAGGAAGGAGAGGAGAGCTGGACAGCACCACACACGTAATTACACAAGCTGGATTTAAACAGAGTCTCATGCAAACAAAATCGACTAGCCCCCCAAGGCTGTTCTGGAGAAATAAACAAATCAAGAAATAAAATAGTATGTCTAAAAGCAAGGAATCCTTTCCATTTCAATGAACTGCTTCAGATTCCTGCTTTTACTGGCCATATTGCAGCATGAGAGGCAAACCATCAGACCTAAAGAAAAGCGTAAAGGTGAAGTGACCCTTAACTTTGATGGAGGGAGTAGTACAGTACCACCCTTTGGCCCCTAAACCTTAACCCTTAACCTTGCTCTCACCTGGGATGACCGATATAGTTTTCAAAGCTCGGAGAACCCTGAACGTTCTCAGTGCTGAGACATTGCCCAGGTCCACAAACTCTGTGACATATCTGTAATAAGGGGTAGGTCACAAACAGACGCCATGACAGGACAACAAAGAGCAGTCGGAGGAAACATGACACAAGGAAGGGGCTGGCAGCAGGCACTTCTTACCTGGGATAACTGAAATAGTTTTCAAAGCTCTTAGTACTCTGAAAGTGCGAAGAGCTGAAACATTGCCTAGGTTTACAAACTCTGTTACATACCTGCAGGAAAATTCACAATTACAATAGAGCTTATGTAGTTCAGGAGAAAATACATTAATGTAACATGGCAAGGGACCTAAACCCCTCAAACAGTATTACATGGTGGGATAGACAATAGGTGTGAGGAGTCTGAGGACATTAAACAAGGAATAACACTATCAAAGTTCAGGTTAGACTGAGGAGTGTGAGTGCCTCAATATTCATCATGTCTACATAGTATTGTAATTACAAGGACTTGCAACCATCCTAATGCAGTATTGCAATACGACTGTTCTCTTGTGTAAGCCACCAACAATTAATGCACTAACAACACAAAGAATAAACCAAGGTGGCATGTTTGCCCCTGAACAACAAACAGAATCAATGTACTAATCTAAATCGACATTTACCCTATACTTGTTGTAACTCATCTGCCTCATGCAGCAAAAACAAATGTTAGTGAAGTCTGGTAGGTGTTAGTAGAAATACATGTAAGTGAAATTACTAGTAGTGTAGAAGTGGGTTTGTCGTGAGAATTTTTAAGCGTGAACATTAGTGAGTGTACAGTAGGGGTCCCCAATCACATTCAGCCGTGGGCCAAGTTTTCCTTGAGCGGATGGTCGGGGGGCCAGGACATAGTTATAAATAATTTGTGAACTGCAAATTGACCACAAGAATTCCAAACAGACTTAGTATTTGACAAAAACAGAATCATTTCAAACCTTGATTACATTGGGATACGATCACTGAATATGGACCGCGGGCTGCCTATTGGGGAACCCCGGTGTATAGTGTTGCCAATAGTTATGTCATATACAGTTGAAGTCGGAAGATTACACACCTTGGCAAAATACATTTAAACTCAGTTTTTCACAATTCCTGACATTTAATCCTAGTAAAAATTCCCTGTCTTAGATCAGTTAGGATCACCACTTTATTTTAAGAATGTGAAATGTCAGAATAATAGTAGAGAGAATGATTTATTTCAGCTTTTATTTATTTCATCACATTCCCAGTGGGTCAGAAGTTTACATACACTCAATTAGTATTTGGTAGCATTGCCTTTAAATTGTTTAACTTGGGTCAAACGTTTTGGGTAGCCTTCCAAAAGCTTCCCACAATAGGTTGGGTGAATTTTGACCCATTCCTCCTGACAGAGCTGGTGTAACTGAGTCAGGTTTGCAGGCCTCCTTGCTCGCATTTTCTATAGGACTGAGGTCAGGGCTTTGTGATGGCCACTCCAATACCTTGACTTTGTTGTCCTTAAGACATTTTGCCACAACTTTGGAAGTACGCTTGGGGTCATTGTCCATTTGGAAGACCCATTTGCGACCAAGCTTTAACTTCCTGACTGATGTCTTGAGATGTTGCTTCAATATATCCACATAATTTTCCTTCCTCATGATGCCATCTATTTTGTGAAGTGCACCAGTCCCTCCTGCAGCAAAGCACCCCCACAAGCATGATGCTGCCACCCGTGCTTCACGGTAAGGATGGTGTTCTTCGGCTTGCAAGCACCCCCTTTTTCCTCCAAACATAACGATGGTCATTATGGCCAAACAATTCTATTTTTGTTTCATCAGACCAGAGGACATTTCTCCAAAAAGTAAGATCTTCGTCCCCATGTGCAGTTGCAACCCGTAGTCTGGCTTTTTTATGGCGGTTTTGGAGCAGTGGCTTCTTCCTTGCTGAGCAGCCTTTCAGGTTATGTCGATATAGGACTTGTTTTACTGTGGATATAAATAATTTTGTACTTGTTTCCTCCAGCATCTTCACAAGGTCCTTTGCTGTTGTTCTGGGATTGATTTGCACTTTTCACACCAAAGTACGTTCATCTCTAGGAGACAGAACGCGTCTCCTTCCTGAGCGGTATGACGGCTGCGTGGTCCCATGGTGTTTATACTTACATTTACATTTTAGTCATTTAGCAGACGCTCTTATCCAGAGTGACTTACAGTTAGTGAGTGCATACATTTAATTTTTTTCATACTGGCCCCCCGTGGGAATCGAACCCACAACCCAGGCGTTGCAAGCGCCATGCTCTACCAACTGAGCTCCACGGGACTAGTACTTGCATACTATTGTTTGTACAGAAGAACGTGGTACCTTCAGGCATTTGGAAATTGCTCCCAAGGATGAACCAGACTTGTGGAGGTCAAAAAAAATAATCTGAGGTCTTGGCTGATTTCTTTTGACTTTCCCATGATGTCAAGCAAAGAGGCACTGAGTTTGAAGGTAGGCCTTGAAATACATCCACATGTACACCTCCAATTGACTCAAATTATGTCAATTAGCCTATCAGAAGCTTCTAAAGCCATGACATCATTTTCTGGAATTTTCCAAGCTGTTTAAAGGCACAGTCAACTTAGTGTATGTAAACTTCTGACCCACTGGAATTGTGATACAGTGAATTATAAGTGAAATAATCTGTCTGTAAACAATTGTTGGAAAAATGACTTGTGTCATGCACAAAGTAGATGTCCTAACCGACTTGCCAAACTATAGTTTGTTAACAAGAAATGTGTGGAGTGGTTGAAAAACTCGTTTTAATGACTCCAACCTAAGTGTATGTAAACTTCCGACTTCAACTGTAGGTAAGTCATAATATCAGAAGCTAATATTAGTCCTTAATAAAGCTACAGTATCCTTTTACTGATCATATAACAGGAAAATGAGAGAATACTTACGCCATGACAATAACACAGAAATCCAACCAGTTCCATGGGTCTCGTAGAAAGGTAAACTTCCCTACACAGAAGCCCCTTGCCAGAATTTTTATAAGAGATTCAAATGTATAGATTCCAGTGAATGTGTACCTGTTGGAAACAAAGGGGACTGGTTAGTCTACATAGATTACTGTGTGTGTGTATTGTGGAAGCATGTAGATTTTGGGGTAAGAGGATGACTTACTCTACATTCTTTGCCCAGTCGGGGGGCTGACTCAGGGTCATAAACGCACAGTTGGTAAGGATGGTGAACATGATTACCATGCTAAACAATGTGGAGGCAGTTGTCAAGGAAACTGAACTGTCCAGACCTATTGATTCAAAATTCATTACACAAGACATACAATACAACACCTGACTCAGGTATAGAACGTATCATGTGACCATATGTTTAGTACACTTGGCCAGTGTGTTACAACTCACAACTTGGTGATAATGCCTGAGAAGCCGGTGTTTGGAGGATATATTGGCACAGGTGCAAACCGTGCCAATATATCCTCCAAACACCGTCATCGAGGGTATTATCACTTTTATACAATGGGTTACCAACATATTCATATAATGATTGACATATATTCATTAAAAACTTTGTTTGATGAATTTATTCATACTATTTAATCATTCCACAAGATATAGTCCCGACACAAATCTAGCGTTGCTACCCAAGCCGGCTGGTCGTTCTGTCTATCGGTTCGGTTGCCAGAGACGCGACCTAATCGTTCAATCTTTTTGTTCTGTATCTAGGGACGCGACCCAGTCGTTCGTTCTAAATGTTCCATTGCCATACTGGCTGGCAACGTTCTTATCCCTTGCTTGCTAGCTAGCCAACTACGGCTAACTGTCACGGATTCAGCCGAGGCTGCTCCTCCTCCTTGCCCGGGCAGGCTTCGGCGTTCGTCGTCCCCGGAGTACTAGCTGCTGCCGATCGATGTTTCGGTGTTTGTCTTGTTTGGTCTTTATTGTTTACACCTGTTTCCCATTATGTTGGATTGTATTCCCTATATTACCCCCTGTCTCTCATTGGTTATTTTGTGTGTGATTGTTCATTGTCATTTCGGCAGTTGCTTTGTGTTATGGGTCTTTGTGTTTTCCTCCCTGTTTGGAGGTTTGTTGTTTTGTACGTTTTACTGTGTTCAGTAAAGTACGTTGCCAGCCGCTCTGTGTCCTGCGTTTGACTTCGCTGACCGCATACACGTCGCGTGACAGAATCACACACCAAGACATGGAGTCAGCAGGAGCAGCGGTGCCAGCTGGATCAATGGAGGAGCGCGTAACACAACAAGCGGCCATGATCCAGGCCCTCGGCACCGCCATGGAAGGGGTGATGAACACCTTGGAGCGATGGGAAAGAGGAGGTTTGCCCACACCTCCTCCAACGATACCACCACCATCAGCTATACCCATCGCTTCACCTCCGGGGTCCAGTGGGATTCGGCTCTCGCTCCCGAGGGCTTATGATGGCACCGCGGCCGGGTGTCAGGGTTTGCTGCTCCAAGTGGAACTCTACCTGGCAACCGTCCACCCGGTGCACTCGGGATACGAGAGCGTGTCCGCCCTCATCTCCTGTCTGTCCGGCAAGGCGCTGGAGTGGGCCAACGCCGAGTGGAGGGGAATAGACGCCGCTACAGTCAACTATGCAGAGTTCACCCGCCGCTTCAGGGCGGTGTTCGATCATCCCCCAGAGGGGAAGGCGGTGGGTGAGCGTCTGTTCCACCTCAGACAGGGGAAGAGGAGCGCGCAGGAGTTCACACTGGACTTCCGGACTCTGGCTGCCAATGCGGGATGGAATGAGAGGGCCCTCATCGACCACTACAGGTGCAGCCTGAGGGAGGACATGCGTCGGGAATTGGTCTGCAGGGACACTAACCTAAGCTTCGATCAGCTGGTGGACATGTCGATTTGCCTAGATACCCTGTTGGCTATCCGCGGACGTCCGGAGTCGGGGCCGTCCATTCCATCCCCCAGCACTTCCGAGCCGAGCCCTATGGAGCTCGGGGGTGCTGGTGCTAGGGAGACTAGGAGAGAGACCAGGAGAGAGGCCGTCCCCTGCACCAACTGTGGCCGCAGAGGACACACTGCGGGTCGGTCCTGGGGAGGGTCTCCTAGGAATCGAGGCAGTAGGCAGCGCACTGATGAGTCATTCCAGGTGAGTAAGCACCCAACTCACCCAGAGCTCTCTGTTGTACATATGTGTATTAAAGTGGTGTTTCCCGAGGTTTCTCCTCACTCCCAGCATAAGGCGCTAGTAGATTCAGGCGCAGCTGGGAATTTTATAGATCGCCGGTTCACGTATAAGTTAGGGATTCCTATTGTACCAGTTGATGTGCCCTTCCCCATCCATGCCCTAGATAGCCGCCCTTTGGGGTCGGGATTGATTAGGGAGGTCACAGCGCCACTTAAGATGAAGACGCAGGAGGGCCATGAGGAGATTATATGGTTGTATTTGATTGACTCTCCTGCATTTCCCGTGGTGTTGGGGCTTCCCTGGTTAACATCTCATGACCCCAACATTTCATGGCAACAGAGGGCTCTCAAGGGATGGTCTGATCAGTGTGTCGGGCGGTGTGTAGGTGTTTCCGTAGGGGCAACGACGGTGGAAAGTCCAAACCAACTTCCCACCATGCACATTCCTCCTGAGTATGTCGATTTGGCACTCGCCTTCTGTAAAAAGAAGGCGACTCAATTACCACCTCATCGACAGGGGGATTGTGCGATAGACCTCCAGGTAGGCCCTGCGCTTCCTTGTAGTCATGTGTATCCTCTGTCTCAGGAGGAGACGGCGGCTATGGAGACATACGTCACCGAATCTCTGAGACAGGGATACATACGATCGTCCACTTCCCCTGCGTCCTCAAGTTTCTTTTTTGTGAAGAAGAAGGATGGGGGTTTACGCCCGTGTATTGATTACCGTGGTCTCAATCAGATTACAATCAAATACAGCTATCCTCTCCCTCTGATTGCTAGTATGACGGAGTCATTACACGGGGCGCGATTCTTCACAAAATTGGATCTCAGGAGCGCGTACAACCTGGTGCGCATTAGGGAGGGAGATGAGTGGAAGACAGCATTCAGTACCACCTCGGGTCACTATGAGTACCTCGTCATGCCATACGGTTTAATGAATGCTCCTTCAGTCTTCCAATCGTTTGTGGACGAGATTTTCTGGGATTTGCATGGACAGGGTGTAGTGGTGTATATTGATGACATTCTAATATACTCCACTACACGAGCCGAGCATGTGTCCCTGGTGCGTCGGGTGCTTGGTAGACTGTTGGAGCATGATCTGTATGTGAAGGCGGAGAAATGTCTGTTCTTCCAGGAGTCCATCTCCTTCCTGGGACATCGGTTGTCCGCGTCAGGGGTGGAGATGGAGATTGACCGCGTTTCAGCCGTGCGTAATTGGCAGACTCCCACCACGGTGAAGGAGGTGCAGCGGTTTTTGGGTTTTGCCAATTACTACCGGAGGTTTATCCGGGGCTTTGGACAGGTAGCAGCTCCCATCACCTCCCTGCTAAAGGGGGGCCCGGTGCGTTTGCAGTGGTCGGCTGAGGCGGACAGGGCGTTTAGACATCTGAAGGACCTGTTCACCTCGGCTCTGGTGCTGGCACATCCGGATCCCTCTTTGGCATTCCAAGTTGAGGTGGATGCGTCCGAGGCGGGGATCAGTGCTATACTGTCTCAGCGCTCAGGCACGCCTCCAAAACTCCGCCCCTGTGCTTTCTATTCTAAGAAGCTCAGTCCGGCGGAGCGCAATTATGACGTGGGGGACAGGGAGCTGCTAGCGGTGGTTCAAGCCCTGAAGGTGTGGAGGCATTGGCTTGAGGGGGCTCAACACCCTTTTCTCATTCTGACTGACCATCATAACCTGGAGTACATCCGGGCAGCGAGGAGACTGAACCCTCGTCAGGCTAGGTGGGCCATGTTTCTTACCCGATTTGTATTTAAGCTCACTTATAGACCAGGGTCACAGAACGCTAAGGCAGACGCCCTGTCCCGACGATATGACACAGAGGAGAGGTCCATTGAGCCCACTCCCATACTTCCGGAGTCTTGTCTGGTGGCACCAGTAGTGTGGGAGGTCGATGCGGATATCGAGTGGGCGTTACGTGCCGATCCTACTGCCCCACAGTGTCCAGAGGGACGGAAGTACGTGCCGCTCGAGGTCCGTGATCGACTGATATATATTGGGCTCACACGTCACCCTCCTCTGGTCATCCTGGTATTGGTCGGACAGTGCACTGCCTTAGTGGGAAGTACTGGTGGGCCACCTTAGCTAGGGACGTGAGGGTTTACGTTTCTTCCTGCTCGGTGTGCGCCCAGTGTAAGGCGCCTAGACACCTGCCCAGAGGGAAGTTACAACCCCTACCCGTTCCACAACGGCCGTGGTCTCACCTATCGATGGATTTTGTCACAGACCTTCTTCCCTCCCAGGGGAACACCACGATCTTGGTCGTTGTGGATCGGTTTTCTAAGGCCTGCCGTCTCATTCCTATGCCAGGTCTCCCTACAGCCCTACAAACGGGCTGTAGGGAGACCTGAGGATATAGTGTCTGATCGGGGTCCCCAGTTCACCTCTAGAGTCTGGAGGGCATTTATGGAACGTCTGGGGGTCTCGATTAGCCTTACCTCGGGTTTTCACCCTGAGAGTAATGGGCAGGTGGAGAGAGTAAACCAGGATGTGGGTAGGTTTCTGAGGTCCTATTGCCAGGACCGGCAGGAGGAGTGGTCGGGGTATATCCCCTGGGCAGAGATAGCCCAAAACTCACTCCGCCACTCCTCCACTAATCTTACGCCTTTTCAGTGTGTGCTGGGTTATCAGCCGGTCCTGGCACCCTGGCATCAGAGCCAGATCGAAGCCCCTGCGGTGGATGAGTGGTTTCGGCGCTCGGAGGAAACATGGAACGCTGCGCATGTCCATCTGCAGCGGGCTATCAGGCGGCAAATGGCGAGCGCCGATCGCCACCGCAGTGAGGCTCCGGTGTATGCACCGGGAGATCGGGTCTGGCTCTCGACCCGAAACCTGCCCCTTCGCCTGCCCTGCCGGAAGCTGGGTCGGCGGTTTGTGGGGCCATTTAAAGTCCTGAGGAGATTGAACGAGGTATGTTATAGGTTACAACTGCCCATTAATTACCGCATTAACCCCTCGTTCCATGTGTCTCTCCTCAGGCCGGTGGTAGCTGGTCCACTCCAGGAGAATGAGATACGAGAGGCTCCTCCGCCCCCACTAGACATCGAGGGGGCTCCGGCGTACTCAGTCCGTTCCATCGTGGATTCGAGGCGTCGGATGGGGGGTCTGCAGTATCTCGTGGAATGGGAGGGGTACGGTCCGGAGGAACGGTGCTGGGTCCCTAGGAGGGACATCCTTGATCCCTCCCTATTGAGGGATTTCCACCGGAGTCATCCGACTCGCCCTGCTCCGCGTCCTCCTGGCCGTCCCCGTGCGTCAAGGGCGGGGTACTGTCACGGATTCAGCCGAGGCTGCTCCTCCTCCTTGCCCGGGCAGGCTTCGGCGTTCGTCGTTCCCGGAGTACTAGCTGCTGCCGATCGATGTTTCGGTGTTTGTCTTGTTTGGTCTTTATTGTTTACACCTGTTTCCCATTATGTTGGATTGTATTCCCTATATTACCCCCTGTCTCTCATTGGTTATTTTGTGTGTGATTGTTCGTTGTCATTTCGGCAGTTGCTTTGTGTTACGAGTATTTGTGTTTTCCTCCCTGTTTGGAGGTTTGTTGTTTTGTACGTTTTACTGTGTTCAGTAAAGTACGTTGCCAGCCGCTCTGTGTCCTGCGTTTGACTTCGCTGACCGCATACACGTCGCGTGACACTAACTTACAGTCACGTCAAAAAGTGCAGCCAGAATAACAGCAAAGTAGCTGCATTTGCATTTGTTTAAGTTGTTTTCTGGAGAGATTTATTTGGATACATCCATAACAATGAGCTAATGAGGCGCGATTTCGCCTGGCATAGAAAATGTGTTCACTTGTCAGGACACTGTTGTTCAGATGACCTAACCAACAACACAGCTAACACAATCACTTCAAACTGTCATGAGCCTCTCACTCCACCGGGTTACCACCTTAAATTTCTTCCACTCTGCTCACTACTCTCTCTACTCAGCCTAACTAGCTCCACCTGTCCCTGCTCTGCTCTGCTCTAATTACTCTGCCAGCCTGCGCGCATCCCATACCTCCCAGTATTTAGCCGTCTTTCAGTCTCGTGTCAATCGTCTGCAACTCCACCGGAACCTGTTTGCTCGCGTTCGCTCACCTGGTTTGTGACCCGACCTGCCTTTTGTACTCTTCTGCCAGGAGATCAGACCTGCTCTGCTAAGATCCGCTACCTTCATCCGGTAACTCGACAGCTTCTGCTGCTACTACGTATTGGATTTCCCTTGAATTGCTGCTTGTTTCATTCCGCCCTGTTGTCGGTTCCCCCCCCCAGGACTTCTGGACCACCCACCACCGGCTTCAAGACCATCGCTCCATGGGGGGGGCACAGACCGCACATTGGACGGTCCCTTTACCCCTGGAGCCTTCATTCACTCCTACATTCCTTTTCCTAGTTTTAATAAATTTCTGTGTGACCAATTGTGGTCCTCATCGTCTAACCGTGACACAAACTGAAGCTGGAAAGACCGCAAACTAGCTGCACTTCGTTTCGTTGTACCGTTTTTCAATTGACATTTCTTTGTATATATCCACAAAAATGATGCCAGCTGATCCATGATTTCGACTGGTTGAGAAACGCTGCCTGCCTGTCTGTCTCGCCCCGACTCCCGACACGCTCATTACTATGGGACAGCTGGAGATGGAATTTGAATATTGAAACAATGTTGGAAATGTTGAAGAGATAGAAAGCAAGGTTAATACAAATCTCTGCTGTTGAAAACAAAATGTTAGTCTAAAAGAAATGTGAGATAATGTCTAGATGCTTTTAATAGTGGAGATCAAGTTTATACATTACTTGGCTGGGTTGAAGAGACAGTGGAATTGCGCAGTCAAATGGAAAAGAGTAAAACAGCCATTTTAACATAATAGATTTAGCTGATGGTAACTTGTGGAATAGACACCGGCTGGAATGCGGTTTTAACCAATCAGCATTCAGGATTAGACCCACCCATTGTATAAAGTGCAATAATTATCTGTACAATACAGACATAGTATATAGGACACATATTTAATTTGACCTCAAAAATATTCAATGCGGTTAATCTTTTTTTTATCAAAGGATATGAGTGTACCAAAACCTTAATTGATATTCTTCTAAGAGGGTTGAAGGGGCTTAAGACATACAAGGCAGGAGTGGCATTGAAGCGGAAGATGGCCTTCCCTCGGTTCAATACTATAAAGGTCTGTGAGAGAGAGAGAGAGAGAGAGAGCGAGAGAGACTGTCAACACATATTCCTGGTCACTTAGGAGTGATGGAAATGATTCATTAAACAAAGGACAACAACACAACACCAACTTCTGTTGTTGCTATAGCACACATTGTAGAGCTCAGTGATACTCTGTGGTGTCGTGATATGTCTCCCCTAAAATGGTCAGACGGGAGCCCTATCAATCATAGCTTTTCTGTCACCTTGGATACAAAGGCTCTGGATGGATGACAGCGTACTTCATCACTTGTCCTACACAATAACAACTGAACTTGGATCTGACAACAGAGAAAGCCGGTGCTACTGCAACTCTGGGTAATCACAGTGCCTGACACATTGAGATCTCTCACTGCACAGCATACACATGACTGGATAGACACTACTAGTATGCATAAACATAAACTCTCTGCTCAAAATAGGACATGGATCCAGAATTGAGGGCTACTGTATCCAAACATAATACTGTATCTATTATGCAACGCAACAGACAACTATGTGTTATACATTAATGCAAGCCTTTGCTTTACAAGACTGCCTTAACCTTTCACAACTCATCCAAACATCTATGCTTGGTTTCAAAGCCCAGCTCTTTGGGATGACCAATCCAACTCACTTTCTGGTTGCTGTAGAAGGTGTCCAGGTCTTCCAGTGGTGTGGACACCAATCCTTTGGGAATGTCCCCGTATATGAGTGGCAATGATTTGCCCGCCTCCAGGTCACTGCTGGGCTTGGGCCCGTCGTCGTCATCGTCGTTGCGCTTTGCCTTGGGCTTCTTGGCGTTCTCGTCAGCGATCCGTCTCTCGATGGCATCGAGGGACTCACGACAAAACGGGCGGAAGCTGTCTGGTCCTGGCGGTACAAGCAGCTGGGCCATCCTGCACTTTCAGAGTGAACAGCTAGCCTCCTGCATTAGAAAGGGATGAAGAAACAAGGGGGAGAAGCTCCAGTTAGAGGCAAGTGTAGTGACTGAGCATCGACTACTGAGGCATTGATATCCTAAAAACTACATTAAACCTGCAAAATATTTATATTGAAGGAAATGTGCAACCAGTATAACACACTGACTGACTTGGACAATATTATTCCATTATAATCTTACACTTACAATCATCCAATTTCACACAGGTACCAGTGAGAAGGAAAACAAAAATGCTTTCCATGCCACACTTTGGCGGCCAAATCATCAATATGAGGTAGTCACAGTCTATTTTTCACATCTATCACTTCATTTTTTCTAAATAAAACAACCCAATGAGTGGAGGGGAGATCTGGCTGTGGACAGATCCCACAGAGGACAAGTAGCAGGTCCTAAAGAGTCTAGAAAGACCTGGCCATGCTCCTAAATCCACAGCAAATACCTGGGAATAATTAAATCAGATTTGCCATATAATACAGGGGATTCAATGAAGGGACTTCGCATCACATGAGACTTCTATTTTAACCCATTACTCTTTGTTCCAGAGCCAGTCATATAGACAACAGCTAGGAGGCATGATCTCGTTCAGAGCCCAAAGTTTCCACTTTCAAATGGCTCAGAGTAAAGAGTAGGGATGAGACAGAGGGAGAGACTGATTTTCCAAATAGGCTCAGAGAGTAGTAGCATAATGCACAGAGACACTGCAATGGCAATATCAAGTATCCCTTTACTACAGCTGCCTCTGCATCTGTCACATTGTGGAGAGGCCTCAGCTTTATCTCTATGTCATTGGCTTTATAGTGCAATAAAATACATTGTTTGACTTGTCGGATCCAAGAAATCAATCACTAACACACTGGTCAATGCTGGACTAGATTTAACATAAATCACATCAATATGTCAACATAGTAAAACCCATTGAGGAATTTAGTGAAACAAAAGTAGTTGTAACCTCTGTTTGAGGTGTCTTTGTGCTCGGCTATGGCAGATTATCATATCTCCCCATATTCTTCATGTGAGTGGTGTTGTTGTGGGTTGTGAATATTAATGATTTGTTCAAACAGAAAAGCAAATAAATACATTAAATACATTATACTAGAAATATCTTTATTATCACAGCTGTGATGGACTAGTTTGACTCTTTAGCCAGCTGCGCACAAATTGACCCTGAATTTGGAATGAACTCATAAGTGCCTATGATCGGCATTAGTACTGTATACTACTCACACATCCTCTAATCAATTTATTGGCTAGTAGCCGCATATAATTTTCAGTTTCAGTTACAAATTCAGTTACAGTAGCTTATTTAAAATGAATCCTATAGTTTCCCTTACTGCATATGACACGTTGACCTCAAAGCCAACCTTTATACTAGAGTTACCAAAAGGGCAAAAATACATTTGGAAAACATTCAGACTACTCTATTCTATACAGTACATCTTCCAAATGGTTTAGGAATTATATATATTCACAACAGTTGAATATACAGTTTCATAACAGTTTCATTAGGACATAGACATGGCATGCATATTGCTTGTGGTCACACGTCTGAGTGCATGCACTGAAGGAGCAGAGTACATGCACAAGTAGCAGCAGTTATGAAAAGAGTGCAATGAACAGCTGACACCTGCATTCTGAATAATATAATCAATTATTCAGAATGAAATATTTTATATTGTCGGCTATTAAAAAATAAATGTCATATTCAAACCTTGATGGGTGACAAGTCTGGATAAGAGCGTCTGCTAAATGACTAAATTTGTATTTATTTTTTAAAATATATATATAGCCACAATTTTCATTCCTATGACCGAAAACAGCTTCTGGACATAAGAACAGCGATCATTAACCTTGATTAGGATGACGATTTCTACTTCAACGAGTCAGCAGCTGTGGATGTACTGCTCATTCCGGACCAGGCCCTAATTGTCACGCCCTGGCTCTGGGGACTCTCGTATGTTGAGCCAGGGTGTTAGTTTCTATGTTTTGTGTTGTGGGTCTAGTTTTTGCATTTCTATGTTGGCCAGGGTGGCTCCCAATCAGAGACGGCTGTAGCTCGTTGTCTCTGATTGGGAGCCATACTTAGGTAGCCGTTAGCCATTCGTTTGGTGTGGTTTCTTGTTCCATATTGGTTTTGTGTAGTGTAACCAAGGACGTCACGTTATCGTTTGTTGTTTTGTTCGTGTGATCATTCAAATAAATAAGTATGTTCACATTCCACGCTGCACATTGGTCCTCTCTTCCCGACGACCGTGACAGAAGAAACCACCATATCTGGACCAAGCAGCGTGTCCAGGAGCCAACGCCAGAGGTGAATCTAAAGGATATCAACCTCGACTGGGTCAAGCCGCGGGAGGAGGAGAGAGGCTGGACTTTGGAGCAGTGGAGTGAGAGTTGGGCGAGAACCATGGAGGCCTGGTCCACGGGGGAGAGACAAGCCCAGAAAATGTTTAGGGGGGGGGCTCACGCCGTGGACGACGGGGCAGCAGGAGTACGGGATAGAGTGGTTCAGCGGGTTAGCAGAGGAGGCCGCCAGGTTACGGGGGCCACTGGTCACCAAGGGGAAGGAGAGTGTAGAGGCACGGCGAGAGGTACTGGGGTGTGTTACCAGTCCGGTCCGGCCCGTTCCTGATCCCCGCGTAGGGCCAGTGGTGTGTGTCCCCAGTACGGTCCGGCCTGTTCCTGCTCCCCGCACCAAGCCAATGGTGCGCATCGCCAGCCCGGCCCGGCCTGTTCCTGCTCCCCGCACCAAGCCTATGGTGCGCGTCGCCAGCCCGGCCCGGCCTGTTCTTGCTCTCCGCACCAAGCCAATGGTGCGCGTCGCCAGCCCGGTTCGGCCCGTCCCTGCTCCCCGCACCAAGCCTATGGTGCGCGTCGCCAGCCCGGCCCGGCCTGTTCTTGCTCTCCGCACCAAGCCAATGGTGCGCGTCGCCAGCCCGGCCCGGCCTGTTCCTGCTCCCCGCACCAAGCCAATGGTGCGCGTCACCAGCCCGGCCCGGCCTGTTCCTGCTCCCCGCGCCAGGCCAGTGGTGCGCGTCGCCAGCCCGGTTCGGCCCGTCCCTGCTCCCCGCACCAGGCCAGTGGTGCGCGTCGTCAGCCCGGTCCGGCCCGTCCCTGCTCCCCGCACCAAGCCTGTGGTGCGCGTCGTCAGTCCGGCACAGCCCGTGCCTGTTCCACCGGTGCCTGGTCCGGCACCGGTCAGCTGCTCCACTCCGGAGCTAGAGCAATCCGCTCCACCAGTGTTCAGTCCAGCTCCGACCAGCGGGGCCGGACTGGACCAGGGGCGCTTTGGGGGGTTAGAGAGGGAGTGGGGTTCATGCTCGGATCCGGATCCGCCGCCGAGGCGGAGTGCCCACCCGGTCCCTCCCCTGTTGTGTTTGGTTGGCGCGGTCGGATTCCGCGCCTTTGGGGGGGGTACTGTCACGCCCTGGCTCTGGGGACTCTCGTATGTTGAGCCAGGGTGTTAGTTTCTATGTTTTGTGTTGTGGGTCTAGTTTTTGCATTTCTATGTTGGCCAGGGTGGCTCCCAATCAGAGACGGCTGTAGCTCGTTGTCTCTGATTGGGAGCCATACTTAGGTAGCCGTTAGGCATTCGTTTGGTGTGGTTTCTTGTTCCGTATTGGTTTTGTGTAGTGTAACCAAGGACGTCACGTTATCGTTTGTTGTTTTGTTCGTGTGATCATTCAAATAAATAAGTATGTTCACATTCCACGCTGCGCATTGGTCCTCTCTTCCCGACGACCGTGACACTAATCCCCGGGACTCGGAAGAGGAAGAGACGGTGTAAGAGAGGCAAACGAGTGGGCTCCCTGATGACACTACGCCGGTGAGTAAATAAACCTTCTGTTCTATTGGTGAACGTACAATCACTATCCTATCAACAGGACCTGAAGAACAAGTACATGGATAATATACATCTAGCTTTTTTATGCATTGTCAAGAGCGAACGGCAGCTTCGGGTAAGGTTAAGGGGGAGGTGTGTGTCTCTTTGTTAACAACAGCTGGTGCGCGATGTCTAATGTTAAGGAAGTCTCAAGGTTTTGCACACCTGAGTTAGAATACCTCATGATAAGCTGCAGACCATACTATTTACCAAGAGTTTTCATTTACAGTACCAGTCAAAAGTTTGGACAAACCTACTCATTCAAGGGTTTTTCTTTATTTTTTACAGTTTTTTACATTGTAGAATAATAGTGAAGACACCGAAACTATGAAATAACACCTATGCAATCATGCAGTAACCAATAAAGTGTTAAACAAATCAAAATATATTTTATATTTGAGATTCTTCAAATAGCCACCCTTTGCCTTGATGACAGCTTCTGTTCTACTAATGCTGTGTTTTTATGGTCTCCACTCTGGCTCCCTGCAGCTAATCTGGGCGTATGGTCACTAGAGATAGCTTGCGCTGACAATTGATCTACAGCATGCATTCCATAGACAAGATGTGGTGGGTGTAACCGAGATAAAGATAACCTGGAGGAGTAGAACAAAACCCTAATTGTTTCTGTTCATCCTTGTATTTGGGAAACTAAGCCGGGCTGGGGGTTAAAACAACACCAGGTGCAGATAACCATAGGATGAACCCAAGGTGGCTTATGATGGCACCCGATCTGCATGGGAGGGGTGGAACCAGCCATGACTAAGCATTTTTAGTGTCAGCTATATAAGAACCAGCATTTTCTGTAAAGTTTCTCGGCCCAACAGTCAAGAGTGTTGGGTCGACCAGTCTCATTATTGCAATAATTAAATCGATATTGAATAAAGATGATTGTTGAAAAAATGACAAAGTCTCTCTCATTTGATTAGAATATTCCACGACACGCACTCAATACGGAAGTGGTCCGATGTAGCGGATGCTAAGCTACAGGACTGTTTCGCTAACACAGACTGGAATATGTTCCGGGATTCATCCGATAACATTGAGGAGTTTACCACATCAGTCAATGGCTTCATTA